CCAAATGATTTCCCTCATGTGTTGAGTTAACAGTGAAGCAAAACTGAAGGAACAAAATAGCAGCAGACTCACAGACTTCAAGAAGGGACCAGGGGTTGCTAAAGAGGAGGTGGGAGGAGGGTGGGTGGGGAGGAAGGGAGAAGGGGGTTCAGGGGCAATTATGAGTGGCACAAATGGTCTGGGGGGATCATGGGGAAGACAGTGTAGCTCAGAGAAGACAAATAGGGACTCTGTGGCATCTTACTACACTGCTGCACAGTGACTGCAATGGGGTGTGGGGGGGACTCGATAATGTGAGTGAATGTAGTAACCACATTGTTTTTTTCTTGTGAGACCTTCGTAAGAGTGTATATCAATAATACCTTAATAAAAAAAATAAAAATAAATAAAAGACTTTTAAAAGCTCCCAACTATCACCAAAAAAAAAAAAAGATACAGTCCTTGCCAAGGCTCACTTTAATGTTTCAGAATTGGCATTTTACAATTGATGAGTGCTTTTCCTATTCCTAAGAACTTGTTATTAACTGTGTGCCGTAGGGCCTGACACCTTGGACTGGAGAGACTGTGGCATTGTTTTTAGGGTGCAGACCCTTAGTGCTGGGCCAAGCTCATCTCACTGGCAGCTTGATTTCACAGAGCAGTTTTGGGGTGAGGTGTTAGCCCACCATGCTGTGTGCACCTCCCAGTTGGACTCACAGCATTGGGGCCCCAGCCTTCCTTTCCCCTGTGTGGTGGGGGTCCCTGGGATGGGGAGGGGCACCCTTGCTGATACTTGGGGACCAGGGGCTTTGTACAGCAGGGAGGAAGGAACTCGGCCAGCACTTCTGCACCCTTCAAGCAGAGCAGGAGATTGCCCACTGACAGCCGAGGGACCAGGAGAACTCTACTGGACGTCAGTGGGGCCAGCATTTATGCCCACTGGCTGTCCTGGGGAGCAGGGGTCCCATTGGCCTCCCCTCCAACCCCCTCAGCACCTGGGTGGGTGGGGGACATGCAAGCCCTAAAAGGAAGGGCTGTGAATGACAGTGGAACTTGGCCTGGGCTGGGGAAAGGGCCCTGTCCTGCCAAGCGGCTCCAGGAGAGGGTACCAGGGCCTTCTCCGGGGTCCCCTGGTTTGGATGGTCTTAAGAATTAGCAATACCCTTTTTGCAAACAAAACCTTACACAGAATCCCACAAGGTAAAGAGCAGAGAGATGACTGCATTGGTATAGATGTAGTTTGTGTTCAAATCACATCGTTTACTTATTTAAGTTAATCACCCCCAAGAGCGAGGTGGCTGGAAACAGCAGAATTGGGACTTCTGGCCAATGGATGACTGTTGCTGACTCACCTCAGCTGTGACCCGTTTCCTCCTTTTACTTTGGTCCCGCGGTTCTGAGAAAATCTTGCTGTACATGATAATTAGCAATACCAATTGAACACTAGGTTGAATTAAGCAGAGAAGTCATAAGAAGCTTTATTTCCTAGGTTTGCAGAGAAATCAGCTTTGGTGGACGCAGAAACAAATCTGAGTTCGCAGGGACGTTTTGCTACATTTTCTAAGAGTTAAAAATCTCGTATTTAAAAGTCAAGTCAGGGTTGCCATGCAAAATACAGGTCGCCCAGTAAAATGTGAATTTCAGATAAAGAGCGCGTGGTTTCTGAGTCTAAATATGGACCATATCTGAAATGCAAAATTTCACATTTCACTGGACATCCTGTATTTCCGTTTGCTAAATCCGACAACCCTACCAGAGCCCGGAGTTGGGGCCGGAGGCCGGGGCGGGCACTCGGGGGCGGGACCGGCGCTCAGGGGCGGAGCTTGGATGGAGTTCGCGGCCTGATTGGGGGCGGGGACCAGGGGCGGGGCTGGAGGCAGAACTCTGCGTTCGGGGCGGGGCTGGGCGCGCGCGCGCGCGGCGCCCGTGACGGCGTTACCAGGGTGAAAGGTCAGGCGCGCGCGGCACTCCCAACATGGCGGCGGCCAGCGCGGGGGCGGCGCGCAGCCCGGGACCCTCGGCGAGGACGGAAGCCCGAGCCCGGCGCCCGGCGCCCGGGCGACCCGCGCGGCTGCCCCCGCTGCTGGTGCTGCTGGCGGCGGCAGCGGCGGCGGGGTCGGGCGCGAGCGGCGCGGCGCGCCTGTACCGCGCGGGCGAGGATGCCGTGTGGGTGCTGGACAGCGGCAGCGTGCGCGGGGCCACGGCCAACAGCTCGTCCGCGTGGCTCGTGCAATTCTACTCGTCGTGGTGCGGCCACTGCATCGGCTACGCGCCCACCTGGCGGGCCCTGGCGGGGGATGTGCGAGGTAAGGCGCGCCCGCGAGGGACCCCGGCCCTGCGGCTTCCCGGTCCCCCCGCGAGCTAGATCCTGGAGGTCGACTGGCTCGGGTGGCCGTGACAGGAACCCGCCCCCCGCCCTCTCCAGCGCCGCCCCGTTCGCCAAATGCCTAGTTTTGGGCCCCCAAGAGCCTCATTAACCCTCCGGCCCTTTATCCTGTGACCCAGCGCGCACCCCGCCCTCAGCAGTTCCATTTCAGCGCCTGGAGGCCCCGTCCTTCGGGGTCCCCACTGCTACCCCAAGCCCTTTCCTTTGAAACCCTCCGTCATCTTCCTCTCCTTCTGACCACCGTTGGGTGGGCACTGAGCCGGCAACTCAGACATCCAAGTGTCCTGGACACTTCTCTGTAGGAGCAAAAAGACCGTCAGGCATTTCATTGGGCAGGTCCTCGTTCAGGGACGTGCAGCCTTTGGAAAATCTGTCGTGCACCAGAGCCCCGCTGATGCTCTGGCACTTGGTGGCTTGGCGCTTTAATCACGCTGAAAACTATTCACCAGTTGTGAAGGGCAGGGTTGGAGCCGGGAGGGGGCATTTGCAACCTCCTTCCCGCAAGCTGGTCCTGCTCTGAGACGGAACGGAAGTTGCTCGGAAGTAGGAGCGGGTTGGGCAGGACTCTCCCGCCGGCGCTGGACTGACCGCTAATCGTTTCAGTGGGCAGGAGGGCAACAGATGGCTGCAGTTTCTTCCTGCACCTTTGTTTTCACATCTCATATCCAGCCTCATTATCTAAACAGATTCGTAAAGAAACGTTTTAAAAGCGTAAATAGGGGTTTTGTGCATAATTTTAAATGTCTTTCAGATGCGTTTTCTGGGGCCTTTTGCTTCTAAAGGGTTTGTTCTTTGATTTAGTGTTTTCTTAAGTCCCTCCTGCTTGACACCGGTCAGAGCTGAAATCAGAGACTACGAAAGGGACTAACAACTCCTTGGGTTTTTTTTTTTTTTTTGAGTCTTTGCTCTGAAAACAAACACTTTAATAATATAGGGAACCTTTTGTTTCTCCTTTATCTGGTGGCAGAAACACAGGTATGCAGGTTAAAGTGCGGGTTGCTCTGGCAAGACACTTGGCGCTTGTTTTGTGCATATTTTGATTTTTTTTTAGCTTAGCATCTGAAACATGAAAATTGTAAACCAGATTCAAATGTTGCAAACTATTTATAGTTAAACCCGCATGTAAGGAGCCGTAAATATTGTGCCCGGAACTTGGAAGGAAGCTTACTTCTGAAAGTGAAACTAGTCAAGTCCACACTTCTTGGCTGATTAACTGTCAACTAAAGGAGGCTATCTTAAGAAGGCCGGACATGGTCCGAGTCAAGGCAGGAAGAATGAGCTGAGACCAAAGGGCATGTGGCTAAAAGCGAAAAGCAGCTGCAGCCTGGAAAATGGGTTGGTGAGGGGGTGGGGGTGATTCAGGGGCCCTGAGGCAGAGGGACCCAAGTGCTGCACTGCCAGCGGGGCTGCCTGAGCCCAGCTCTGACTGGAGTCAGATCCCTGGGCACTGGGGAGTGACCCCCTTGGGGTCCCCAAAGAGAGGTTATCTGGGGACTCAGAAGCACACATTGCGGCCCCAGCCCTGGCCTGCTGAGCCAGAAACTCAGGATGAGGCCCAGCATCTTGTCAACACGAGCCCCAAAGTTGTAAGATCGTGGTTCTCAGGGACACTAACCCTGCAAGTCACCTGCAAGAAAGAACCTGTGACCAAAGAGATGGGACACATGGCATATGAACTTGCCCTCATGGATGTCCGCTGCACATGAGACTTCCTCGGTGAAAGAATCTGTCGCCTCTAGCCCCTTGCCTCTCATGTGATTGATTGACCACAGGGCCGTGTGGCGCCTGATCTCAGTGAACTCCTCAGGGCATGCGCTAGGAGGAGCTGCTCTCCCCCACACTGCGGAGGCCAGCAGCAGCCCCCTGAGCTCAGGCCAAGCTCCCTGCCATGGGCCCTCTGGGGGAGGGTGCCTGTCGCCCCTGTGATGCAAGCTCAGTGCGGTCATCACTCCGTTCCACCACCTCGGTCTTGGTCAGTCACTTGTGAGTTGGGCTTCCTGGCCAGTCTCCCGGAGCTTGCAGACTTTAGATGGGGCCCCCTTGGGTGCCTCTCCCCACCCCTCACCAGATAGAGTGTGTCCGGCAGGCTGTCCCTATCCACCACTTCCCTCCCAGTCTCCATACCAGTGTGGCTTCTAGAAAGTAGGCAGCTATGAGCCAGGCTCTGCTCCCCGCTGGAAATGGCCTGGGTGGGAGGACCCTGGAGCCAATGCACCTGCTCCCCTAACTGTGCCCCACCACTGCCTCCTGCTTGCCCTCTTCCGTTTGCTCAGAATGAGCAGAAAGCCCAAGAGGTGTCTGCAGAAGGAGGGGCTCCTCCTCCCCAGCTTGGTAAGACCTCTCTTCTCACAGTTCAGGGGTACTTTTATTTTCCTAAAAGATTTGGACTGAATTTTAGCTTTTCACTGATGTTTCCAAGGTTTTGAAAGTAAATATTTTTCCTTATAAGAAGGTAGCTTAGCAAACAAAAGGCCTACTGTTGAGTGTAGCCAGATGCCTTCCAGTGTTTATGTAGATTATGCTTATGCCTGTCACCCTAAGCCCTTAGCAAAACAGAACCCCACGCTGTCCCTGAAAACCACTTAGCCTGGAGCTGTGGTGTTAGCAGACCTCGTGAGGCCACGTCTTTTCCTTGGTTGCTGAGTCTGCTGTGGCCAGACGTCCCCCAGCGCCGAGATGTCTCTGAGATGCTTCTGGGGAGCTCTCCAGCGCTGAGTGTCCCTGCAGGGCCACTGTGGCCTTGGTATTGATTCTTGCCAGTCCTGGGGAAGCAGAGCGCAGGGGGACAGGGGGCAGAATCTGACAGAGTTGGTGTCAGAATACTGGATGAGACACAGAGACCTGGGGGGGAGTTGTGCTCAAAGTGCACCTTCTATTCCTGGCCTTGCAGGGGGCGCAGGCGCACTCCTGTTGCACCTTGATGCTGAGTGAGCCTGGGTCCTCTGCTTATGGCCACCATGAGTGAGTCTGGGTGTCTCCAGCCCTCGATTCTCACTCACTGTGTCTGCAGGCTGGGGTTGGGGCGCTGGACGGTGGGCTGTGGCTCTTTATCGCCCACCTGGTCTGGGTGGTTGCCCTCGGGCCAGGCCATAGGCTTCCTGGAGCTGAGCTGGACCACTGGGTGTTCCCCCTACCATTATCTATTCTCAGGAAGCAGGGATGGGGGACTGCAGGAAAAGGGGTGCGGATGGCTGCTGGGTGGCCATTTGGTGAGCTCACCTGGGCACAGCAGGAGGCTTGGAGGGGTGGAAGGAGAAGATTAGAGGCAGGTGGGGGTGGTGTCCTCTGTTTGGGGCCCAGAAAAGCCTTTTGGGTGCCCCAGTCCCAGGTAGCTGTGGCTGAGACCCAGCGTCATTGTGACTGAGCCTGGGGGAACACCGCTTCTGTGCAGCCTGGTGACAGAGTGGAGGGACCCAAGCGGGAGGTGCCACCAGCCCTGCCTGGGCTCCGATGAGTTGGAGGACCTCTACTGAACCGTTTCCCCTCATGCCTGCATTGAGCACCACCAGCACCCCTAGAATCCCGTCGATAGTGGCTCTGGAGTTGCTCAGGGCCGTGAAGGGCATGTGCTGCTGTGCCGGAGCCCCCACTGGCCTCACCGCCAGGACATTTGCAGATGGGACCTGGGCTCTGAAGCCGACTTGAGCCCTAGAGAGTTCCCGCTAACCTCCGCTCCTTAGTGTGTGGGCTTAATTTTTACCCCGTTCTGTATATCCTCAATTTGTGGCTGGAACTTGGAGCTTATTTAAGAGACCTTTGCTCTGCCCTCGGGGGCTGCTCCAGGGGAGGGCGCATCCTGCAGCCCTGGAAGGAGGGATCTGAAGCCCTGACTGTTTCATGAGGATGGAGCTGGAATGGAGCTCTGTGTCTGAGAAGCAATGCTCCACTGCATTCTTTTAAACCTAGGAGGTCAGTTATTCTGTACTGTAATCATTTTCTGGAACTAATTGATACTTGAACTTAAATTGGACTTTCTTAGACTTTTGATTGGAACTTGACAAGTAATGGTAAAAGGTTTAATCCTGTAGACTAAGTAATATAGTTACTTGACAAGTAAACTTGAAACAGGTTTCAGTCTGCTGTATATAGAAGCTTAATTATTTCACAAATCCTTTATTTTTTATTTTGCTATCATTAATCTACAATTACACGAGGAACATTGTGTTTACTAGACTCCCCCCTTCACCAAGCCCCCCCCCCACAGACCCCATCAGTTGCTGCCCATCAGTGCAGTGAAATGCTGCAGAGTCACTATCACAAGTCCTTTCTAAGCCTGCGGTCCTAACGGCAGCCCGGCTTGTGAGTGGAAGTGAGGAGTAGGTACCTGGGCTGACTCCTCCCTGCGAATGCCCCTGGCGGCGGCGGTGGCGGCCTCCCAGATGGTGCCCCCCACTCCCCCATCCGACCCCCGGCTCGCTGAGGGTGGCCTGCCCTTGTGGGAGCAGCGGTCTGCATTCAGTTTAGAGCATTTCTTTCCTTTGTGTGGCGGGATCCAGACAGGTGGGAAAGGCAGGAGGAGGGGAGGGTACAAGCTGAATGGGGCGAATATCCTGAAGCCAAACCTCTGAAATGGTTTGCATTTTATTTGATAAAATAGATTGTCTCTCTTTTGTGTTTCCTTGAATGCTGCCCATCTGCTGGGCCTCTTGCAGTGACTGCCGGCGACGAGTAACCGAAATTCTCCCTCATCTGCCGCCCTCGCCAGCAACCCATCCTGCACAGGCAGGCCTCCTTTCAGAGACAGACAAAGGCCTGGTGCTGTGTCAGCCCGCCCCTCCGCCAGGACAGCCAGCCCGGGTCGAGTGGGACGCACTTACGGAGCGGAGCCCTGCAGATGGCCCTGTCAGTTCTAGGGTCCTGAGGCCAGGGCAGGGTGCCCTGAGCACATGGGCACAGCACACTGCCCTCCCCTGCCAGCTC